CTTGATGCATAAAGTTAAAAGATTAAAACTAATAAAACAAGTTTTAAAAAGAGACTTTTCCATTTGATTACATTTTGTATGATGGATTATGAGAAAAAGTAGAATTGGGCTGAAAGATCTATCGCTTATCACCTCTTCAGGTTGTAAATCGTGTTTTTAAAAAGTAACTAAGTAATTAATTACTTTTGAAAATAAGTAATCAGTAAAGTAACGGGATTACTTTTTTGGGGAAGTAATCAGTAATTAGTTACTGATTACTTTTTTCAAGTAACTTGACCAACACTGGAGGTGAGGTGAGTGGACACACATATCCAAGATTATGCTCTAATCCCACATCATATTTTTTAACTAAACTACCAAAATCCCCCAAAGAGATTTAGCTTTGCTGAAGTAACACAAAGACAACTGTGATCTCTACAAGCACAGAAAAAAAGAGAGAACAACAGGTCTTCGCAGACTGGATGAGGTCATCATGACAAATAATCACACTCATTTAAAGAATTGCTCGCTCAATGAGCTTTTCCAGTGGACCAGCTTCTAGATGTAGCACGCACTCACACATGTATTGCAACATATTATTTTTAACATAAATTGGTAGCAATGTTTCAGTCCTTCACATAGACACAAAGGCAAACAACTCACCCATCAGAACTTCGTCTTTCAAGCCTTGCTCACAGCAAAGTCAATGACAGCATTGCTCAGATCCAAAGTCCTGACAGCAAACTCATCCTCTCTCTGCTCTCCTTCCTCTTCTGAGAACCACTTTCATGATTTACTTTCTAACAATAAGACAACAAAACATGCCTAGTTGATGTTAACAGGTTTGCGGGATTTTTCTTAAATGAGAGAGAGACAATGGTCATGAAGGCAAGGCAAGGCAAATTTATTTGTATAGCACAATTCAACAACAAGGTGATTCAAAGTGCTTTACAGAGACATTAGAAACAAAAACAAATAAAAAGCATGATTTAAAATTGATTAAAACAAGCAAACAAACAAACTAACTAAACACACACATTTCACACCTGTTCGCGCGATCTGAACCCTTATCGTAAGGGGAGCTACCAGTCCTTCTGTGGACGAGCTACTTTCTATTTTAAATTCCCTGAATTTAAAATACTCTCTAGACCCAGTCTAGACCCAGCTGGGGAGCTACCCAGAGCTCTAAACCCACTTAACAAACAAACAAACAAACAAAACAGTATATAAAATCAAAACAGATAAAATCAGAACAGTAGATAAAATCAGTAGTTAATGTAAGTTTTGAAATTTAAGCTTAACAAACAAACAAAACAGTATATAAAATCAAAACAGATAAAATCAGAACATAGATAAATCAGTAGTTAGTGTAAGTTTTGAAATTTAAGCTTAAAAGTGTGGATTTGGTGCTTTATTCAAATGCAGCTGAGAATAGGTGAGTCTTCAACCTGGATTTAAATAAACTGAGTGTTTCAGCTGATCTGAGGCTTTCTGGGAGTTTGTTCCAGATATAAGGAGCATAAAAGCTGAATGCAGCTTCTCCGTGTCTGGTTCTGACTCTGGGAACTGATAAAAGACCGGATCCAGATGACCTGAGGGATCTGGAAGGTTCATACTGGGTCAGGAGGTCACGATGTATTTTGGTCCTAAACATGGTTTCACATCCAGATTTTTCCAAACAGGTGCTTGTTTAAATTCATTTCATTAGGGAAAAACTGATGGAACCTTGAATTAAACATAGTGTATCTTATGCTTTTTATATTATCAAATATCCACTTTACAAAAGTAATGTGAATAAAATTCTCCAATGTTGTATGAAGCAGTGTTCCTTTGACTTCTTTTGTGGGACTCAGCTCCTCTGTCTTCTGATGCAGACGCATTGCCTATGCTCACCCGGTTCCACATTACTAAGACCCATATTTTGTTGGGTGGTGAATTTGTAGATACATTGAGCCTCCACAGCCTCTAGGTGGCCCTCAAGCTCAGCCTCAGTATCTTTGGGGAGAATTAAAATGACTTGTCTTCATTTGTGGCCAGACATTTAATTTAAGAATTAAATGAAGAACATGATCAATGATAAGTTGCAGTGACAGAAAAGCTGTGGCTTGTGTTTGTGGAGTAATCCATTCAGAATCGTGATCGAGGAGTGATGTCTACCGACAGGTAAAGTGGGATCATTGACAGGGTGACATCATGTCAGGAGGCAAATAATGGTAGCCCAAGCCACAGCCTGCCTTGAAGACATCAAAAAGGGCTTATCCATCTCAACCCTCACGAAAGATGCGCACATCCTAAAATTGTCAGCCACTACAGTACAAGCTCTGCGATGTTTTTGACAGCAGGGTAGGTGAACCAACCATGAATAGGGTGTCATAGATAATGGTACTGCTGAGGTTCAACACTCTCTAAGCCCTATATGTACCAAGAGGAGATGACCCTCTAGATTACTGGACCAACATGCCACCATATTCCCTCATCTATTCCAGCTAGCTAATCTTTCCACTTCAACCACATCAGTCTCCCAAGAGAGAATATCATTCAAAGCAGGAGATTTTGTGCAAAAGACAAAATTGTCTCAGTACTGTTGAACACGTTGTTTTTCTTAATAAAAATAATTAAACATGCATAAAAACACACCCTATAAATATTGATTGATGTCTTTATGTGCAGAAGCACAACCTACAATTACTGACTGGTTCAAACAATATATCCTTCCATACAAATAATACTATAAACCAACAGAATAGGTGACAGACAAAAAGAAAAAGACACATGAAAACATTCACATTTATTCAGTGCAATAATTTAAAATCACATTTATTTGGCCACCAGATGTCGCTGTAGTAATGTGTTCCAAATTCTCCAAAAGATCAAATCTTTTTCCAAAACAGCTGTTCCAAATGATTTGATCTCTCGAACGCTTCATTTCTGCCATCGCAAACGCAAAGGTTTAATATGAAATACTGGGTCAAGTTACAAAGTCCAGAAAACCAGAGAATATGTAAATGAAAGTCTGGGAATCCTGTGTCTCCAGAAATCATTAAACATATGGATACAGAACCAGAAGGCTTAGAGAGACAACAACAAAGTACAAGCGGAGAATATGGAGTCCAATCTGTGAGGTAATTCATTATTCAGAAGAACAGCCTGCTTTAATCAAAACGTTGATTCAATAGGGGGAAACATATCAAGAAGTGCAGAAAATCATGGGCTGCTCAGCTAAAATGATCTCCAATGCTTTAAAATGGAAAGCCAAACCAGAGAGACTACCATTCGAATGGATTGAACAATAGCCAGCATGGCAAAGACTCAGCCAATAACCACATCCAGGGAGATCAGAGGCAGTCTGAAGTTACCTGTGAGTACTGTGACAATTAGAAGATGCTTGTGTGAGGCTAATCTATCAGGAAGAAGCCCCCGCAAAGTCACGCTACTAAAAAAAAAAAAGACATGCGCTAAAGACGATACAATTTGTCAAAGAACATATCGACTGGCCTAAAGAGAAATGGAGAAACATTTTGTGGACTGATGAAAGTAAGATTGTTCTTTTTGGGTCCAAGGACCGCAGACAGTTTGTTAGATGACCTCCAAACACTGAATTCAAGCCACAGTACACTCTCAAGACGGTGAAGCATGGTAGTTCAAGCATCATGATATGGTGAAGCATGGTAGTTCAAGCATCATGATATGGAGATGTTTCTCTTACTATGGTGTCGGAACTATTTATCGCACACCAGGGATCATGGATCAATTTGCTTATATCAAAATAATTGATAAGGTCATGCTGCCAACAAAATGAAGCTTATGGAGTGGCCAGCCCAATCCCCACACCTTAATCTAATAGAAAACTTGTTGGGTGACATCAAAAATGCTGTTTCTGAGGCAAAACCAAGAAATTCAGAGGAATTGTGAAAGGTTGTCAAATCATCCTGGCTGGCATACGTGTTTATGATGATTTTGAGCTTTACTCACATTTTAAAACACACTTCTATTATTTTGAACATAACTGTATAATCAAACTAAAAACTTGAGGCACAAATAAGGAAAAAAAAGAACCAATACCAGATATCAGAAGATAACACAATAAACAAACCCATCAGCATAAGGAAATACAAAATAACACTATTAACAGAAAAGTACAATATTATACAGAACATGACAAAAAATATATATAAATAAATATATCAGTAGCAATAAAAGTGTCTGTATATAATGATACATTTGTGTGATAGTTATAAATAAATATTTCCTCTAATAGTTAAAATGTTATGCTTTTATCCAGACTAAATGAAGATCTTCTGGATTAGTGAGATGCTGCTTCCTCTCCAGCTTGCAGTCTAAGGAGCTTGGAAAGAAAAGCGTCTGGACTTCTTTAAGTTGCTTGAAGACGTTTCACCTCTCATCCGAGAAGCTTCTTCAGTTCTAGGGTCAAATGGTGGAGAGTCCCAGATTTAAACCATGGGAGTACCCCCAAGAGGGACATGGACCCCCTGATGATCCTCTACCCAATCACATGAGCCAAGGTGTGAAAACGGGTGTGGGTCACAATCAGCCAGGTTTCGGGTGAGCTCATTGTGAAACCTAGCCCCACCCTATCATGATTTTCCTGAGGTCAATGGCCCAGGATGTGAGTGGGTCGTTAAGGCGTCTGGGAAGGGATCTCAAAACTGGATTATAGATGGCAGACAGTTGGTGTTGTAAGCCACCGCCTCTGTTCATAGATTGTCATGCTCACAGTGGACATAGATGGCTTCTTCACTCCTCTTTTAAACCATCTGTCTTCTCTGTTCTAAATGTGAACATTGGTGTCCTCGAAGGAGTGTCTTTGTCCTAGATGCAGATGGACTGCTGAGTCTTGTCCTGTGGAGGTGGCTCTTCTATGTTGTGCCATGCGCTTTATGAAGTGGTGTTTGGTCTCTCCAATGTAGAGGGTCTGGGCATTCCTCGCTACACTGTACAGCATACACCACATTGTTAAGTTTGTGTTTAGGAGTTCTGTCTTTGGGATGAACCAGTTTTTGTGTGGCTGGGTCTGAAGTACACTGGGATGTTGTGTTAGTCTTTCTGATCCTCCCTAGTTTCTGTCTGATCGTCTTCTCTGTGCCTCTTTGCTGACTTGATGAAAGACCAAATAGGATAAACACATGTTTTAAGAGCTTCCTTTACATGTGTGTGTATTCAGTGGAGGAAATACATCCTAAATACTGTATAGTATATACTGTATAGTCATATTAAAGCTCTGGGTGCTCTCTGTGGGGCAGGTAGGTAATAACGTAGCAGCTTCCAGAAGGCAGAAGAGGGCAGCATCGAGCTTTTTCCCTTCCAGGTGACACAGTCTGCAGCTTTGCAGAGTTGTAAGGCCTCTAAAGATGAACTTGTGCTCAAGACTCCGGCTGTCTCAGTTTTAATCAAAACCACGTGAGTCTGCAACTTCTTGAGGGATGCTTGGATACTTTTCAGCAGGTCGACTCCTGAACCAGAATCTTCTGAGCAGGGGACCAGAACCACTGTCTGACTCTGCTTTATGCAGTCTAACACAGCCTCTCCTACAGGAGCAGACAAGCACAGATCAGAGTGTGTTGTTTTCCCCTTGATTGAATTTGTAAGGACAAAATTTAGAATAACAATTTTGTAAAAATATGAAAAATGTAAGCACCTCTCTCTGGTACAACATCAGGACTGTAGCAACAGAGACTATAACCAAGTCTGTACTTCATTTCACTCTCCAGCCTTTTTCTGTCATCTTCATTTAGTCCTGGATCTGTGCTACTCTTGTAATACATCAAGCAGGCGTTGTAGCTTTTTCCATCTAAATGGAAATATCCGTTGGGGAATTGTATAATATTCTTATCCAGTTTATGAAAGAGTTTCCAAAACCAAATTTGTGTAAAGTTGCGAATCCCTTCTCAATAATCAATAGAAATGCCTTTATTGGCTATTACATCAATCAAATGCTTGGTCTGCACACTGAAATTTGGAAGCAAGACCACAAAGTTGTGAAAGTAAAGAAAACAAGAAAGAAGAAGAACAGACGACGTAGGAACACTATGTACACGATGTAGACCTCATAATAAAATATTGTTAATAATAAATAAGGGTGGAAGGGCTATGGAGATTAAAGGATGGAGACTGCACATCTCTTGGTGTTTCCCTGGATAAGCTAGAGGACGTGGCTGGGGAGAGGGAGATCTGGGCTGTTCTGCTTAGGCTGCTGCCTCTGTGACCCGGCCCCGGATAAAGCGGAAGAAGATGGATGGATTGCACATCTGCCGAAATATTGCACAGGAGGAGCAGAATATTGTACGGAAACAAAAGGAAACTCACAAATGCACACACACACACAAATAGTAATAATAATAATAAATAGCAAGTGGCATCAACAGAATAATTGTAAGAAACTCTCAGTTTGTATTTATGTTCCGGGAAGAAGCTGTTCTTTAGTCTGTTGGTTTTGCAACTAATGGATCTGAACCTTTTTCCAGAGGGCAGGGTGTTGAGTAGATGGTGGTTAGGATGGAGGCGGTCTTTTATGATTGCCCTTGCTATTGAGGAATATCTAGTGCTGGCATTGGAGTCCAGGGTGCAGTTTTTATCTTGCTGAAGTCCATGAGCACTTCCTTGGTTTTCCTGGTGTTGAGAGTTAGGTTATTGTAGTCACACCACTCATTGGGTATGTGGTCATTTACTGTGATTAGGTCACCTGGTCCATTGGCTGAAAAATGACCCCCATTAGGTTCCCACCACGTTTGACAGTGGGGATGGTGTTCTTTGGGTTGAAGGCTTCTCTTTCTTATTTTTTACCCCAAATGAAGGAAACATCATCGTGACCAAACAATTCCGTTTTCATTTCATCTGACCAGAAGTCTTCTTCTTTATCCAGATGAGCATTTGCAAAGGCCAAGCAAGTTTTTGTGTGCCTTATCTGGAGAAGTGGTGTCCTCCTTGGTCTGCATCCATGAAACCCAGCAGTGTGCAGTATCTGTTGGACTGTCTGCCTTGAGGAATTGCCACCAGCAGAGCCCAGATTCACCAGGATGGCCTTGGTGGTTATCCTTGGATTCTTTTTCACCTCTCTCACTATCCTCCTGGCCAGCACAGGTGTTACTTTTGGCTTCTGACCACGTCCTCTAAGATTTTCCACAGTGCAGAACATCTTGTTTTTTTAAATAATACTTTCCATTGTAACCACTGGAACTTGAAAACATGGCCTTGTAGCTCTTTCCTGACTTGTAAACAGCCACAATGTGCAGCCAGAGGTC